TTCGGCATCACTCTCCGCCCCTCCCCGCGATGCCAGGACCGACTCCGAGTGCCCCCGGGTATGATTGTTACTGGCCCACCCACGGGGGCTGGGCGTGGAGGCCGGCGCTCTGGCTGCCCCTGAGGTCCAGGGACGCTGGACCCCAGGCCTCCTGCTCTTGTTCTTGGTCCCCCCCACCCCCGTGCCCCCACTGTCTCAGCCCCAGGAGCCTGGGGGGTTGCCCAGGAGGGGTGGAGCCCGCTGGGGGACCTGGAGCCCTTGCTGCCTCCACCCCCTTACATGGTGTGGGCCATAACTCAGACCACATAACTCAGAGAGCCCCCTGACCCCTGTACCCCCACGGGGAGACTAGTTAATTCCACGAGACGCAGTTGCCAATTGCTTAGACGTGGCGAGCCCGTCGGCTGCCGCCCGCCCGCCCACCTGCGAACCCGCCCTGGAGCAGGAAGTGCCTTTACCCAGCCGCCCCCTCGAGCCCACACTCCCGACGGGAGCGGAGACGGGTTGGAGAGGGAGGTGTGTCCTCGTCAGCCTGTGGTGCCCCTGTCGTCCCCACTGGCTGGGATTTGATTGAGGATTCAAAGGAGGAAAAGATGCACCACCCCCCCCGCCCCCCAAATTTTAGGAAGGTCAAGCAAGTGAGTCTGGTGGGGAGCTGAGTGAGGAAGTGATGGCCGGTGCCCTGGAAGGGGCCTCTGGACCGTGGCTGGGCTGCTCAGTGGCCCGAGGGGCCTTGGTCCCTGCGCCCCCCGCCCGTGGGCTGAGCAAGTGTGCAGGTCTGTGTCTGGACACCCATTTGGCCCTGGTGCTCTGGTTAAATGAAGGCCCAGGCCACCCCAGGTGCCTGCTCAGCCCCCCTGGCCACGCCCTTGCTGGCTGGGAGGTGGGAGACCTTGACTCTGTGGCCCTGAGTGTGCCTGGGGCCTGCACCCCAGGACCCATTGTAAAGACCCCCCCCAAGAGGGGAAGGCCAGGATTTCCCACCAGCACAGCCCAGGGACCCCCATGCTCCCTCAGCCTCTCTCCACAAGGGGACCAGCAGGGACCACGCATGCGTGCGCAGCGGGCTTCCTCCTGCCTCGGGATGGGTGCGGGGGCGCCTGCAGACCCCAGGGGTGCAGCGGGAGATGCGGGGTGCAGACAGACCCCGGCTGCGGGCGTTGGCTCCCCACTCACCAGAGGAAGGACCCCTCGGTGAAAGTTTACTTGCCGACTTGCCATGTTTTGCCAAAACCACGGTGTTGAAGGACGTGTCCGCTTCCAGCGTCAGAGCCGGCCGTGGGGCCTCTCCCGGCACCTGCCGCCTCCAGCCCCGAGCCCGAAGCCCTCCCTCACGGGGATGCGTTCCGCAGTGGCCTTTCGCTAGGTGCCTCCTGAGAATCCGCCTCTTTTTGTATAAATAACAAAGTGTTGGAAATGTATTTCCTGAAATAAATGTTCCAAATGCAAACCTGGGAGGCTCCGGGTGGGTCCTTCCCCGACGGCTGGGGTGCAGGGCACCGGGCGCGTGCGGGAGCTCTTTGCTCCCTCAGGGCCTTAGAAGCGCTCATTTGCGGGGATGACTGAAGAGTGAACAGCAGCCGGGCGGGTGGCCCATCGGTTCAGGGTCCACCTGTGAACCCGGAAGCCATGGTTCAACTCGGCCAGGGCACCTGCCCAGGTTGCAGGCTCAGTCCCAGTGTGGGGCAGCCGATCAATGATCTCTCACCATTGATGTTTCTCCCTCTCTCTTCCTCTCTGAAATCACAAAAAATGCATTTAAAAAAAAGCGAACAGCAAACCTATTTAAAGGAAAGGAGCGTTTTCGAGGTCTCTGTGGGGAGGAGCGGGGGGTGTTCGCCCTCGGAAAGAAGTTGTTCTTGAAATTTGACGCCCAGGAACTGGCCCGCGTTCGCAGTGACTTGGTGCCCATGTCGTGTTCCGGGAGAACTGGGCTCCCCGGAGATGGGGCCAGCGGCCGCCCCACTGCCTTTCTCTGCACCTGCACTGGGCACACCTGGGCCCTGTGCCTGGGCTCCCCGCTGGGCTGCAGGGTCCAAACAGCAAGAGAAATAGAACCACAGGCTCTGCGCCCCATTCCCTCCACTGGTCCCTCGGCCGGCCCACGCCTGTCTCCCCTCTGCCAGGCCTTGTTTGTTAGCAGTCAGGCTGGTTTCAGGGGACACCAGGCCTCCGGCCCCGGGGCCGCCCTCCTGGGGTCGGGAGCCTTGTCCAGCTGCCCAGCAGCGACTCCTCCGGGGCCTCAGAGAAGCTGCCGTGGAATAGAACCCCGCGGAAAAGGCGTCTTCCCTCCTGGCTGGAGAAGACGCTGTAATGAATGAGGATCAAGAGTATAAATAATTAGAGCTGCCCAGCACGCGGGCCTGAACCATCTGGATTCAAAAACTAAATACCGGAGAGTTGTCGTGCGAGGGAGCCGCTGCACGTTATCTCCCCACCCCAGCCTCTCCACCTCCCCCGAGTAACTTCATCAGAGTCTGTCCCAGGAAGGGCTGTGTGGGGTGTCAGAGTGGGATGTGCACACGTGAGACTCCAATACACATGCATGACCCCAAGGCACACGATGTGGGGGTGCCCAGGGCCCTCACAGCCATGGGCGGGCCTTGGATTTGGGGACGGGCCCTGGAGGAGGAGGGCAGAGGATGCCAACATTGCAACTGTACCGAGACAGGCCATGAGCTGTGCCCTCTGCTGCCACGCTGGCAGGATCACAGCCAGTGTTGTGACACCCAGCGTTGCAAAACCCAGTAATGAAAAGCAGAGCTGCCCTTCCAACACGTCAGCATGGCCAGAGGAGAGCCCGGAGCGTCTGCAAACTCCGCGCTTAGGCTCCGCTCGGCGAGTCGGCCCTGAGGAGGCAGAGGAGGGCAGAGGAGCTCAGCTCCAGGCTCCGAGTCTCCTCCTCTGACCTTGATTTTCCTAAAGGCTGAGGCTCTGGGAGGTGCATGCTCCCCCCCGCCCCCCCCCCCACTTGCCCTTAGTGTTTTGCAGGTCCGTGGACCAGGTTCATTTGCAAAGATCATCAAAGGGCAGTGAGTCCTGGTCCTTCCACTTACCAGCTGGGTGACTGGGTGACGTACGTAGTTCCCTGCCTCAGTTTCTCCATATGTAAAGTGATGGTAAACTACCTAACACATGGGACTGTTGTGATTAAATGACTGGGTTCCTTTGAAGCACTTAGTCACATCTGGTGAGTAATGACAGACAGTTCCACGGATGTTAGCCATCATCATCACCACCATCATTATCACCACCACCACCACCATCATTATCACCATCACCACCATCATCTTCATCCCCATCACCACCGACATCACCACCATCATCACCACCACCATCATCATTATCACCACCATCATCATCACCCCCCCCATCTTCATCCCCATCACCACCGTCACCACCACCATCATCACCACCATCATCTTCATCCCCATCACCATCGTCACCACCACCATCATCACCCCCATCATCTTCATCCCCATCCCCATCGTCACCACCACCATCATCACCCCCATCATCTTCATCCCCATCCCCATCGTCACCACCACCATCATCACCCCCATCATCTTCATCCCCATCCCCATCGTCACCACCACCATCATCACCCCCATCATCTTCATCCCCATCACCACCGTCACCACCACCATCATCACCACTATTATCATCCCCCATCACCACCGTCATCATCCCCATCACCATCATCATCCCCATCACCACCGTCATCACCACCACCATCACCAACATCCTGAAGCTAAAAGAAAGAAAAAGATTCTGCCTTACCCTCATCTTGCTCCTCGGCCCTGGAGCCAAAAGGAACAAAAACTAACCAGAAGGTTGAGGGCAGAGCTGACATCAAAGAAGCAGCTGAGCGTTGTGCAGCCCCTTCTGCCGCACTCTGCTGTCCGGGCCTGTTCACACGCGCTGCCTGCCTTTCCCACTAGATCCTTCAATGCCTTTAATATACGTAAAGTCCTTGTCCCATAATTCCGATGTCTCGGCCGTCTGTGGGTCTACTTCTATTGATGATTTTTCTCTTGACTGTGGGTCCCATTTTCCTGCTTCTTTGCATGTCTTACAATGATTTTATTTACCTCAAATGTGTGCAGAAAAACTGGTGTGTAAAATAAATACATTTCTCTCTGAAAAACAACCTGCTCTCTCCTCCTTTGGGCCATTCCCGGGAGGGGCTGTCGCTCTAAAATGCAGGTGAGCTGGGTCAGGGCTTCGATTCACTTCACCACAGCCGCCGGGGTCACGGGGTCAGGTGCTCGGAGAGCAGAGGCCAGCATGAGAAACGTAATGTGTGTGTATATGCAAAAGGCAGGTGGTACATGCCTGCGCGTAGCTGGCCTGTCCGGAGGCACGGAGGGTGTGAACCGGCGTGTGTGTGGAGGGTGGGAGCTACAGGACAGGGACCACCAGTGTGCAGAGGTGGGAGGTAATTCTCACGGACGAGGCATGTGCCCTTGGAGCTGAAGGCGCTGCCGCTGCAAACGGTGAAAGTAAGGAAGAACGGTAGCCTGGTGAAGGCCCTCTCCACTGAGCCCAGTGACTCGGCACAGCCCACTGCGCTTCCGCACGTTCGGAAAATGCTACCATCCCAGCTACCCAATCACCTGCGGCTTTGGTTCTCAGGGAGGGGGGGGGGCGGAATTCGCCA